ACAGCCACTTGGACAAATTCACTTTAACAGAGCCAGGCATTTTATTAGTGGCCAGAGAATAATCTGTAATAGGAGGAATTATTCAAGCCCAGGCTTGTCAAGGCAGTGAAACCTCTTATTAGGAACTGTACAAAAGTCAATTCCTTCATTCTTGCTAATAAAGGATTCAAGACACACCTCACTGCAAACCCAAAATTAATAATCCAACTGGAAGGAGAGTTGAGCCCACTGGAGATGGGTAGAGATGGACCCCAAATCAAAGCTGAGCCCAACCTGGGTGTTCAGTGCTTCCAACCCCATTACCTGCTTTTCTGCAGGGTCCTTTTGATCATAATAACTCTTCACTAGGCAAAGTGATGACAGTGGTGATTCCATCTGGTCTTCAGAGACAGATGACTTTTTTTTTCTTTTTTCTTTCTTTTTTTTTTGACTCCTTTTTATCTACTTAATGATTTTCCAATTTTAGCCAGTTCTGCTAAGGAACCTCAATAGTCCTAAGAGCCTTTGATGTAATTTCTCTAAGTAAAACTCAAAAGGAAAGGCTAAAGTCTGTAAGTACAAAGAAGAGGATTGGTCCTCAGCTCCCCAATGCTCTTTGTAGAAGTCATCCTTGTCAGTCATGATTGAAAACAAATGCTGGAGTTGAGTTTCGAGGAAGGGAAACAAAGATGACTACTCAAGGTCAAAGTCCAGGGAGAGCTCCTTAATGCCCAATATTTCTGCTACACTGAAGCAACTGTAGGTTTCTGAGTTTTGCATCTCATCCAGTCAATTATACTATAAACTAAAAGAAACTATTATTTTAACTCACAAAGAGAAAGAAAATTTGTTGCTAATTAAATTGTGAAAATATGGAGAAATATGCCAGGCTCTTTCACACCACTACATCTTCTTTCTCTCTTGGGAATGTCTTTCCTCCCGTCTCTTGGGCCAGAGTCTCTGCTAAGTCACATCACACCAGACATTTGAATGTTATTACTGTCAAGTTAGTGTGAGAAGTACATTGTGAGCCCCCTATGGATAGGGATCATTTTCTGTTCATCTAGGGCCTCATCAAAACTTAGCACAGTTTCTTACTTAGAACAAGTGAATGCATTCATCTTTTGTTACAGCCAACATTGGAAATTCCTCTGCTATTTGGAGAATATGCATGTGCCTTTTGCCCTAGAGAGGGAGAAAGAGAGAAATAGTTAGAGCTTCTCTAGCTACACATGCAGCCTTATGTAACTTTTTCTTTTGGGTATCTCCACAAAGAGGCCTCCCATTTTCACAAGTATAGAAGGTTTTTCCTATGAATGCTTTCTTTAATTTATCCACGGTAAGCATGTGCAGAGTTTTTGTACCAAGCATGATGCTAGACCAAGAAGGAGAAAACTTCCCGACTGCTCTCCAGGAGGGTGATGTCTGGAGGGAAGGAATAGGTGTAGCATTTCACACCAGTCCAAGATGATTTATGGGTTGTACAACTGTGAATTCAACCAACCTTGGATCAAAAATATTTGACAAATAATTGTATTAAACACGTCCAGGCTTTTTTCTTATAATGACTCCCTAATCAACAGGTATAACAACTATTGATATTCTATTAGTTATTAAAAGTAACCTATACGTGATTTAAAGTATACAGGAAGATGTGTCTAGGTTATACCTAACAGTACTGAGCTATCTTGAATAAGGGATTTGAGTATCTGCAGATTTGGCATCTATAGGGTGTTCTGACACCAATCCCTCACAGACACCAAGGGATGAGTGTATACAGTACTGGAGCAGGGAGGAAAAGATGCAGTGAATTCTGATTTGATACAGAAGGTGGAGGTTCACAAGGATTATGATGTTTGAAGAGGAATTTGAATGAGTCAGAGGCAACTGTCAGCAAGGGAGATGAGGGTAGAAAACAGCACATAAAAAAAGCAGAACCTTTTGAGGAAGCAGTGAAAGTAAAACAAGCTCACTGCAGTATTACTATTGGGTTCTTTTCAGAGAGTAATGCACTAATTTTAGATCCTTCCGAAGATCACCATCTTAAAGGCTGGTTACCTCAAGAAAACTAAGGCAATATGAGAACCAACAATTGTTTTGTGCCCCTTCATCATCTTATTTTTAACAAGAGAAGGGTGTCAATTCTATATTCAACCCATGTGTCCAGGACTATTCAAGGCACTTCCTAAATGCTGCTTCAGTCACTTAAATTACTAGTTAAGTTCTCTAGGCTATTTTGTGATCTGCTTCATCCTTTAAAGGTGCAGGTTGAAATTGACTTGGGTAATTGAAAACAATATCAAACTTGGTGTGGGGTAATACTGGTTTCCCACTATTTTCAAGGTGTCTATAATCATATCAGCAGCAGGCTAGGTCTCAGGCATAATTCACAGTGAAATCAGCTCTGCTTGGTCACTGCACTCTAGCTCTCTTAATTTTACTTCCAAATCCCCCCACACACCATATTTTGAGCCCACTCTGGGTAGCAATGGAGGCAGTTCACTACTAGACACTGTAGGAAGTGCAAGCTTTGCAGGTACCTAACCTGTCTCCTTCAGGTTCTGGTTTGATTATGAGCTGTATGTTGTGACCATTTGTCACAGAATCTGCTGTTTGACTCAGGGGAGGCCACCAGTTGTTTCCCACAGAATGAAATATGGGGCCATGTCTAGAAGCAAAAACTGGAGCAGAGAGAAAGCACTGTGGGCAAGATAATGGAGCTGGGAAGCAACTGTAAGTGTACCAGTTAGTTCTTTCCAGGGAGAATTCCCCTAAACTGACAACCACAGTGTTACTCAGGGGGCTCTCGAGTCAGCTCACCCCAAGCCAGTAAACAGCTCTTGCCTCTGTTTTCTGAACCAGGCAGTGTGCCAGGCACTCAAGCACAGAGATGGCAAGACCCTATTCCTGACCTCAGGGAAGTTATGGTCCATTTCTAAACTCCAGAAAGGTAGGAAACCACTACAGAGTCACACCATTTCCAAGGGGCTAAGATAGTGCTTGAGCCCAAGTTTTAGGACTTTTCCTTCAAAGCCTTTCCCTTTCAACTATACCATACTGCATCTTCTTATCATTATTGTTTCTCAATTGCAGTTTTAAAATTTATTTAGCTCTAACTTAATAATTGATTATTAGAGATGTTTGTCAGGGTTTAAAAGTAAATATGTTATTGGTGATAATAAATGTTGAAGATATTCACATTTGTTAAACTTAAATGTATTTTAAATAAAAGTGAAATTGGTCCTCTGGGTGAGCTAAATGATGTTTATTATCTTTTTATATACTTTTCTATGTTTTAAAATTTTTCCAAAATGGGATTACATTGTATTTATACTTTTGAAATTATTTTTAAAATAAACCAAGTGTACATGAAATTGTTTTTTAAATCATAAAGTGCTAACAAATACCAGTTGCTAAATTCACTATAATGTAAGAAAACCCAACTGTGCATCAGGTTACAAGCACAGCCAATCAACCATGACAGTTTATGATGATAAATGCGCCAGCAAGTAGGTGCTGTCAGAGCCAAGTAAAATGGTGGATATGAAGATGTCATTACCCAGATGGGGTACATCCCTCTGTTCAAATGGAGGGAACAGAACAACTGAGAACAAAGTATTTTAGAGTCTTACAGTATCTAAAATGATAGACATCTCTTATTTCTTCATTAGCAATCTCTCATATTCCAGAAGGTTTTATTTCTTTCTGTCTAAAAATGCCAAATTTTATTGTTCACATGTATTATCAACCACCTTGTCTCAAAGACATGTGGGGCAAGGATTTGGTTTTAATGACTCTGACTAGGTGAATTTGGGTCAAATTCACCTAGCCAGAGTCATTAAAAACAAATCCAAATTTTGACCCAAATTCACCTGCTGCACCTTTGGAGCAGATGGACGATAGTGAGTCTATTGCTGGGCCCCAGCACCCTGGAACTTTTCATGTCCATATAGTTTCTACTCAACTTCTTCCTATTGGAACTTCTTCCTTTGCCTCCTTAGAAATCTTCTAAGTGCCCACTTCTCTTACAATGAAATTTATTTCTTCTCACACACTTATTAATCTTTGACCAAGTATAATATTTGCATATAAAAGAAAGAATCTCTTCTTTTTGGTAAAAGGACATTAGGGTTCTCCTAGCAATCCTCTAGCTCAAGGCAAGTGATAGAACCTTCTAGAAAGGTCAGCTTAACACCTCTGGGAATTCACACTTAATACATGTTAAAGGAGAGAAAAGAATCCATTTCTGATTTAATCTAAGTTTTCTTCTAGGCATTTATCATATTGGTACATGTTTTCTGGCAGTGTGCTTTGTGGCTTGAGATAAAATAATTGACAATGTGTTGTGGTTTCAAAAGCGTATTCATTTGCACTTAAGCATCATGGCAGCCCTGTGAGAAACATTTTATTACCTACTTTGTGAGGAGGAAACCAAGAATCAGAAAGACCAGAGGAGAGTCTAAGGTTATAAGCTAGCACTCAATTCTAAGTCTTCTGAGCAATTTCAACCACTGTTCCAAAATTTAAAATCAGGCCCTAGGTCACAGGATAAAATTATATAGAATCTGAATGATCCTACTGTTACTGAAGTCATCTACACAGTAGAGAGAGAAGGGGGGAAACAGAAGTCAATACCTATTGAACATCTACTCCCTATGGGCTGTTTTCCCTTTACTAATCTCATTTAAACATCATCTCTTTCTCCCCTATAACAGTAAAGAAACAGAAATTAAAGCAAGATTAAATTGTCTCCCCAAAGTCACAAATGGCAAAACTGATCTGACAATCTGAGATTTTCTGACCTACAAACACACAAGCTTCTCACCACACTTCTCATTTCACTACATCTCATGGTGCATTTATGCCCACAGTAGACATTTAAAGGCTAACAGTGAAGAAAAGTTCTCTGGTTTGGAAAGACTGGTGTTCTTAAAGACACCTGCATGCAACCCTTTCCTTCCTTGACCCTCCAGACCTGCTTTTTGTGTGGTACTGCTGACATGCTCTTCTGTCCCCTGCAGGGTGTGTGGCGGTGGTATCTGTGATTGAACAGCTGGCTCAAGTTCACAACACCAGCATCCAGGGCTCCATGGAGAGACTGTGCGGCTACCTTCCTGGTAAATATACAAGTGTCCCACTGTGGCATCTGCTCCTCTTCTCCCCCATAAGTCATCGTGAATGTTTTATATGCAGCATGTGCTTATGGACCAGAATTGATTGTATTATTTCTGTGGGTTCATATTCTCTTGGGGATCATAGAAATCAAATTTAAATACCATTCTAGGTAGTTTCTCCCTGTCCTTTCTTGTCCATCATGGCAGAAGGAAATTGCTGTGAACGTTTAGGGAATAAAATGTTGACTGGTCAATTGTCACTTTATGTGTCACATTAATAATGGTTTTCCTACTTGGTGGTCATTGCCTTAAATACTAGGTAGTCAAAATAATGAACAATTTCAATAATTTAACTTGTATACACATTCCCGGGCACACATAGCCTTACCAACACAGGGCTGTAAGCTGGGAAGACAAATGATCTCAAAGCCCCAAATGGGACAGTAATCTGGAACATTCCATTGATTTCAACTGGATCTCAATCAAGTCTTGTATCTATCTTTCAAAAGAAGGAACTGACCAGTGATTCAAACAAGCTGTATATTTGTTTTTTCAGTCTCAGCAGAAAGGAAATATTAAGTCTATTTCCTTCACAGAGTACCATTATATGAACAGTGTCAAAGAATAAACTTGCTTGAGGGTCAATTTTTCTTTCTCTTAGTGGGAACTAATTCATCAAGAATGCTGCACTATTTTTTTCTGTTTAATAAGGTCTTTGAATTAATGCAATTGTGTCTTTATTTATATATCACACTGTGCCATTAATACCAAAGCATTTTGGAGAATTTATTGCATGTAGTAAAACTAGGCATTCACAGGATAAAAATGCTTAGAATTCATACTTCGAGATTAGGAGAGAATAATCTGAAACACATGCTTATAATGGCCCACATAAATCATTGTTGAGATTTTGACCTATTTACAACAAGTCTTTCTCTTGTGAAATTAAAACACGGCAGATAAACTTGAAACACTCGTTGGCTTCTCCTACCCACTGTTTCATTTCTTTCCACCTCCCTAAAACGAACCACTGAGATGAACTTAATAACTATTATTCTTATCAAACTTTATATTTACCAGTTTACTTATATGACTCTATAAACAAGGTAGAGTATTATTCCGTCAGTGATTTAAAACAAAACAAACATAGAAAAGGCATAGTTTTATCAGTTACTGAAAGGTAAACACTCTTGTAAACACAGCCCATGCCAGGCAAGAACAGATAGCTAACCTCCCCAGAAGTCTCATCCACGTATTCCATCTCTTCATAGCCCCCTCCTGAATCTTGTGGTAATCATTTCCTTGCATTTCTTTATCACCCAAGTGGGCATCCCTGCATACCATGGTGCTGCCCAGTTTTTGCATTTTGATATGTTTTCTAAGTCTATTTTAATCTATGTCTTTCCTTTTCATCCCACCCCCGCCCCCCGCCTTATAATTTAGCTGTGAAATTTGACCTGTAGCATTCCCCGCTGTCTGGACTGTACTCTGTATTGACTGCATTCCTGTAACATAATTCAAAATGTCCTCTGTGCTCTGTATTTCCTCAAGATTGGCAACTGGATCCACAGGGTTGATTAGATTCCAATTTGATTCCCTTGGCAAGATTGCAAGTGGTATTGCTTTCTTTCATTGGCAGGCCACCATAAGTGATAATTCTCCTTCTCTCCTCTCTCTCTCTCTCTGTGCACACATATGTGCATTTGCTTCTAATAGCTGTTGATGTTCAATAATGAGATCCATTAATTGGGAAGAATAAAATTGGGATATTCCAATCTACCACTTATTAATTGAAATACATTTCTTCATCCTCACATTCCTCCTCCTTATATGTTAGAGATCTCCTTTCCATAGTACCTAGTGGTATTGCTCATATAGAAAGCACAGGACACATGTTTGAATCTTTTACTTATCAATTTTCAAGGTAATTGGTTTTCTATTATTATCCCAAAGTAACTAGTTAGTTTTTTTAAAAAAGCACCATCATAAACTCATGAGCATACCTGATGGGTTTCAGTCAGTTGTAATTATTATCCTATAAAGCTCAAATGGCCCCATCTTTGACCACACAGAGCCTCTTCAACTTGACTTCTGAGTGGTTTTGACATGAGTTCAGGTAACCCTGGATGGCATCCTCTGTAAACTGGAGTGACTAGGCAAGACCCTGTCTTGCAGGTTTTCTGCCCCAGGCTTGAAACCAGCCATTTGTCCTAGAACCTCTGGGTTCTTCCAGTGAGAACTATTTCAAGCATAGCCTGGGTGCTTAGGAGTGCTCATTGCTAGGGAATGCTCTTTCTTCCTAAGCTCCCTTTGCTATACAGTGATAAGAAATATATGCATAGATGTATGGATAATTTTAAGCTAAAATATCTAAACTGGGTATGGTGGTACCAACCTATAATCCCAGCACTAGGGAGGCAAAGGAAGGAGGATTATGAGTTCTAGGACAGATAGGGTTATATAGTGAGTTCAAGGCCAGCTACATAGGGAGACCTGTCTCAAAAAAAAAAACAAAATAAAACAAACAACAACAACAAAAACAAAGAGTGGGGTATAGCTCAGTCGTAGAACACTTACCCAGCATGTGCAAAGCCTCGGGTTTGATCCCCAGCAACTACCTCAATAAATAAATAAATACAAATAAATAGAATTAGCTTTGCATATGCCTTTCCTATTTCTCCACTCTTTGAAATCATTGAGCTGTATGAACTGAGCACAGAGCCCATACAAAGAGCACCCATTTCCTTTTCTCCCCCATTTAATGTTCTTCCATCAGCAGCCAAGTGATTAATGGTCACTGCCAGCCCTCATGTAGATGTCCCTCTAGTGGAGCTATTTCTACTGTTCATTCTTCAGGAAGGGCTCTGGGGAGCAATATTCCCCATATTCTTGCATGTTGATACCAGGCTGTCTGTGCCCTTTATGCTTAGAACTCACCATTTTTCTGTATATGAAAATGATTGGCACACAATTTTTAAGTGTTTCCCTGAACACTTAAAATATGTTATTAGAAAGCCTAATGGTGATCTAATTTGTCACTTGCTGATTTTGCCTAGAAGTTCAAAAGGTAAGTTTCTTTTCTCTTTCCTATGAAGGTAGTTAGAAGATGTCTTTGTTTTAATTGTTGTATATTGATGTCCTCAGGCACCCAGTTCTCTTAATATGTGATTCAAATCTATATTTTTTAATTCCAGGAAAGTTTTGGTCAGTTTCCTTGGTGTTTCTACTATCTGTATATTGAATCTTCATTGCCTGTCATATATATAGATATAGAAACAGAGAATAGAAAATAGATAGATATAGATGAAGATTCTGTTGTTCTCATCTGCTTTGCATTCATTCTAGTTAAAACTTCATTTTCTTGATAACTTTTATTCTTCCCTGAGTTCTTTTATTCCTTATCTGAGTTTTTCTAACACAGATGTCTGCTATTCTTTCATGTCTTATATCATTTTATTAATGCCTCTTATCTCATTTTGAAATAATGCTATGTTTTTATCTCTTTTTTTGGGGGGGGGGCATGACTTCCTGGCATGCTTTTGCTATCTGTGGGGATGCTGTTCTGTTTCTTATTCTTTTTTCCTATAATAACTTTGTATGGGAGCTGACCTAGATACATTTCCATTGATCATTTTTATGTGAGATTAGTTTTCAAAAACTCTTAGGAAGAGGTGTTCAGGACAGTTTTGTAAATGCCCAGAGTGCTTTCTGTTGTTTTGGTGTAGTGTTAAAAAATGTAGGTTAGCTTGCTTCCTGACATTTCTTTGAACTTTATTTCTAGCCTGCTAATTTTGATCCCCAACCCTAGCAGTTTGAGTTCAAAATGGGCATTGTCCTGGGAGGAAGGCTGTGAAGGCTGAGTCGCTAGAGCTCATGGGTGCAGATTGCTTAGCCCTTTAGGCTTTCTGACTTTGAGTCTCTGACACCAAACACTTCCCTGCTCAGATTGCCCACCAAGCTTTCTAATGACACCTGACAGCTCTTGGGGACTCTCCTTTCATGGGTTTGGCTAACCACAGTGGCTTCCCTCCACTTTTTCTGGCATATTTCCATAGCTCATCATCACCTCCTTGTGTGTGGGGTTTGTAGTATCTGTTGTCTGTGGGTTTGGTATTTGCTATCCAAGAACTTTTTGTGCATATGGAGATTCAAAGAGTTTCCCAAACTGTGTGCTTCTACCCCTACCTTTCCTTCTTCCAGGAAGGCCTTAGTTTTACGTCTGTGGTCTGCTGATGCATGGTGCTACACCTTCCTTTTTTTTTTTTTTTTTTTTTTTTTGCAGTCCTGCGATTTAAACTCAGGGCCTACACCTTAAGCCACTCCACCAGCCCATTTTTGTGAAGGGTGTTTTCAAGATAGGGTCTGGTGAACTATTTGCCCAGGCTGGCTTCAAACCTTGATCCTCCTGCTCATTGCCTCCTGAGTAGCTAGGAGTACAGGCCTGAGCCGCCAGCACCCAGTCTTGATAGTTGGGTTTTCAATGTTGGGTTTTCAATGTTGGATTTTCTTTTCAATTGGAGCAATTTTAATGGATTTGTTTTCATTTTATCAACTAATGTTGTATTTCCAAATGGAAACCAGGCACTCACTTCAGGTTATGTAGTCGTTATACATGACAGACAAGAGTGATACTGTTTCTATTTTTATGAAAGTAAAAAACTGCATGGAATGGCTCCATGAATTCTATGAAATGACAATGACAGTCTCCTAGCTAAGACTTTCTCCTGGAAAACACAATAGAGCTGGCTGGCAGTGCGGACTTGAACCCAGCATTGTCTTCTGTCTGGCAAGCTAGAGGACAGTGGATAGAATGGAATTATATACTTAAACACACAATTGTTGTTAAGATTATTTCCCACTATCCTTTTCTTTTCTAAATCTAAACCAGCACAAAACACATGAACTGAGCAGAACCATCACGTAAGCACATTTTGAGAATAATCACTCTCCAAAACACCCTGCCCTCTTGATGCCTGGGAAGACGGTGTTTCACATTGTGCAAG